TATAGAATGATCATATCAAAAAAATAACTCGAAAGAAATGACGCTAAGTTGGCAAATTGAAAATAAGTGGCAAAATTACGTGTTTGTTTTCACTTTTTTTACAGCCCATAAAAATCTATACTTACGACTTATCAGAAAATTAGTTATTTTATGTTGTAAGCAATTAAATTACCAACAATTTAAGATATCTAAAGTCATGTTTCACCAATTTGTTAACTGTAAAATAAAGCGTGAACGCAGAAAAATCAGTTTTCGAAAATTGCGCATTATTATTGCAAAAAACGATGGATGTAGATGAAACTTATGGAAAAGACGGTCAATCCAAACACCAATATGTGTGCCTAAGGCCGATTCGATTGGCCGTGCAATTATTGCTTCAGGTTTTTGTTAATTAATTAATTTCGTTCGTTATTTTGAAAGTTAAGGTGGTAGATATAGCTTCTAATTGATCCAAAGATTTATTTAAGAAGAAAATTTTAAAAAAATTGAAATTAAGTTCCTCTCCTTGCAACTATCAGAGTAAGATGTGCAATACAGCGTTACAATAAATTGTTCTAGGGTCATGCAAAAGCCGCTCGGGAATTCGCTCTTTTTGCATTAAATACAGCTTATTTTTACTATAATTTGAAAAAAAAGGATATCACTTACGCCTTTTTGTTCCCAAGATAGATTTTTTATAACGTTAAATGTTAATTAACTATTGGACGTATCGGACTGGGATTTTGGATACGATTAAAGAAAGAGTTAAACTTTTACTTCCAAAAAATTTTACATTGATGGTTGATGTTATAAACGCGCTAGCAGCAATAAAAATTAACGTTAATTAATTAAAGTGCAATAAAAAGTCTAAATAATTTTTTTTTAAATTCTCAGGGTTTATGTTCTAATTCGACTGGACTATAAGAAAATTTTTTACTAGACACTTGAATAGCTTTATTAATGTTAATAATAATTTTGAGATAATATATGCATGATTTATCAGAAGTAATCTAGCATACCGTTTATGGATTAGCTACAGTCTTTATCAAAATTTGATGGATAAATTAAATCTGGTCAATTAACAATTTTTAATTTAAATATGTTTTTTACACTTTATGGTAATAATCCTCTCACAGGAGTACTGAAAATGATTAATTATTTATTAAATTAATTCAATTAGATTATCTTACACATAGGAAGATTGTATTTGATTATGTTTTCTGTTTAAATTAGTTCATAATCTGTTTGTTAGAACCTACTTAGGAAAAGTTCTCGGTTATATATTTTATTGCTCATTTAACAGAACAAATGTTATGATGAAATCACCCTTTAAAAATATGTCATTTATTTAACAGTACGTTCAATATCTCTGACATTAATTATAGTTCACAAGATTGTAATACGTTTCTTTAGGTATTTTTGTATTTCTCCTTTATTATCCAAATTCAATCATTTAATTATTTATGTTCACCTATTATAAATTTTGGGTGCGAAATAAATGAAATCATTATTATTAATAGCCCAACCAAATTACACTTGGAGAAAAAAAAATTGTTACCTGGACTTTTATAAGTGGAAATGGTAAAGGGGCTTATAATAAACCTAAAAAAAAAATAAATGCGTGAGCAGGGGCGACGGAGGGTTAATTTGGGGGGTTGAAAAGTTATGAAAAATTATAGCACTGGGATTTCTGGCGAAAGTTGACGTCAAAAAAGAAAGTATCCAATACAACAGTTGTAGATCATGCAAAAATCTACAACTTTTGTAGAAGTCACTTTTTAACATAACCTCAAAATTTCCGAGGAAAATGCGAGAAACAGGCATTTCTCTGATTTTTCGTTTTTTATTTCTCATTTCCGTAAAAATAATTTAATTTTGACGAAACTTGGTGAAAGTATACCTTCCTCTGTCTTAAATAACTTTAAATTTTTTTCTGATATTCATTTTTTTCGGTCTGGAACACTTTTTTTCAAAGAAAAATTCTACTTAAAAAATCATCGTACGAGTTCTGCCGGTAATCATTTTTTCGTTTTGACTCAAAAATGCAAAAAAAATAAAAAATAACTTGCAACAGTGAATGTTTCAGTTATTGTTGATAATTTGTTTAAATTAAAAAACATTCAAAAATTTATCACACCATTCAGTTCTACGAAAAAAAAACTGTCATTGTTTGACCCAAAACTTTATTTTTTTTCTGGCTTTATTTGAAAACAAATTTTAAATAAATTGCATATTTACATTGCCACTTTTTTCGCTCTATCTAATGGCGTCAACATTTTTGCGATCCGACGTTTCGTCTTCGAGGGGCCATAATCAGATTGATTTTTTTAAATATATCGCTGCTATTTTTATGACATAATCTAGTCATTTTTAATTCTGTATTAGATGATATTACCATTGCAATCGCTTAAAAAGGTTTTTACGCTTTCAAAATACCTGTATCTATAGGAGAAGAGAGAGAGAAATTGAAATTATTACTATAAGTATCTGTAAATGTTAAAAAATATCAAGAATTTAAATATCTAGAGGGCTCCTCACTAAAAATAAAAATAATTGCCCCTGTATTTTCTTTATTTTTATATTTAGGAAAAAAATTCAATTAATAGCTACAGGGTGGGCCATTAGTGTGAGAAAGTGAAATAACTCCCTTGTTACAAAAAAGTAGTTAATATAAAAGTTATACAGAATAAAGAAACCTAAACTACAAAATTAATTTGATATATACAGATTAATAAGTAAAAACGGGACACGCCAAATATTACATTTTTTTAATGGAACATCCTGTATATTTTTAAATATATGAATTTCCGAGAAAATTTTACATATGGCAATATAAACTGTTTATCATTTTAGTGCGGGATTGCCAATTTAGCTAGAAAATTCTTCGAATTTTGGAATAAATACGACCTCGAAGAAGTTATATTAATTTTCAGCTACTAACCCTTGGAACAAAATAATTAGACAAATAGGCAAATGTTAGACAAATGCTAATATTAATATTTTATTCGGGGCATTTTTTATAATACGATCATTTTTAGAAAGTTTAAACTTGATTTTCTAAAATCTTTCAAATGGAACACCCTGCATTTTATTGTTCTATTTTATTCACATATCGGTCCACTTCAACTTTTATTAAACTTGTTCTATATCTAAAATGTTAGTTTTTAAGATACAGCAACATTTCTGAAAAAACTTAATTTTTATTATTTATAGAATACCACAAATAAATATTAATTAATAAAATTAACTCAAAATGAAATGATAAATTATGAACTGACAAGTTGACACAATGAGAAACTTTTTTCCAAAGCCATTTCGTGAGACCGAAAATAATAAAAATTAGTTTTTTTCAGAATTGTTATATCTTAAAAATTAACAACTTTAGGTGTAGAATATACTTAATAAAAGTTGAAATGGACTGATATGTGAATAAAACAGAACCATAAAATACAGGGTGTTCCATTTGAAAAATTTTATAAAATTAAGTTTGAACTTTCTTGAAATGACCGTATTATAAAAAATGCCCTGTATAAAATACTGATAATAGCTAATATAGGAGTCTTTGCCTAACACTTGCTTATAACTCTGTCAAATATTTTTGCTCCAAGTGTTAGTACCTAGTTGAAAGTTAATACAACTTATTCGAGGTCATGTTTTTTCCAAAATTCGAAGAATTTTCTACATAACTTGGCAGCCCCGCACTAAAATGTTAAACTGTTTATAATGCTGTACATATAATTTTCTCAGGAATGTTTAAAAATATACAGGGTGTTTCATTTAAAAAATGTAATATTTGGCGTGTCCCGTTTTTACTCATCGCCCTATGTGTTTCAAATTAATTTTGTCCCATAGGTTTTTCTATTCTGTACAACTTTTATATAAACTTTTTTTTTGTAATAACAAGGGAATTATTTTTGTAATAACAAGGGAGTTATTTTACTTTCTCACACTAATGGCCCACCCTGTATATGGTTGTCTGAGGGTTTTCTAGATATAAGTTATGTCTTTTTTGAACGAAATGTCTTGCATTTTTTTATGTCTATGTAAATATTAAATATGTCATATGTATATAATTGAAAGTTATTAGTTCACTACGAATATTCCAATCTGAGTAGCAGTCTTATTATATTACTACTGGTATTTACCATTAAATTTAAAATACATTTAAAATATAGATAAACTAGGATTACAACATATTAAAAATATTATTCTACATTCAATATGTCCCACTTAAGATAATAAAATCATAATTCTTTTAATCTTTGTCTAATTTATGTTTTATTTTTCAAAATATACTGCTAATTTTAAGTTACCTAATTTTTAGTTACTGTTTTTTATTTGACAAAATTATTCCACAAAAAATATAACTTACATCTAGAAATCTAGATATGCGGTGTTAAATTAGTTTTTATAAAAATTTTTGCAATTCTCGAATAAAAAGTTACTGCTGTGATTAATTTTGTTGGTAAACCCTGTACACGAATTCCATAAGCACCGATAAATTAACTTAAAATAGTTTTGTTGACACTGTAGGTTGTTTATTATGTGATGTGATTCACGATACTGACTCCATTTTATTAGATCAATCCAATAATTCAATGGCGTTATTAAAAACAGTAGCATATTTCCACTTGTTAAAATAGAAAGCCTCCAATCAAGGAACATAACTAATTTCAATTCAGTTTAGCTCATAATGTTTCTAGAATAAAAAGTCAAAGAAACAATTTTTAATAGAAAGTATCTAAATAAAAATTTTCAGAATAAGAAATTGCCCAAAATTCCGATAAAAACATTTGAATGTACGCATTTGAATCTGCTAAAAATACTGGCAATGCCAGTTTTCATATCTTTCGTTTGATCAGAAAGTCACAAATAAAAACTGAAAGAATCTAGAACACTTACCATATAAATATAAACAAATGGTAAAGCAAATAATGAACCCCGTGAAAGAGATCACATATCTCCTTACTCACAAAGTAAGATAGTTTTTTTTAAATGGTTAAAAATACATTTTGTTATAGGCACGTTAGGAGCAATCTCAGATGGCATGCAGTATGGATGGACAGCCCCTGTCCTCCCCATTTTGGAAAAACCAGACAGCCCAGTGAAGATCACGCACAGCGACCACACATGGCTAGAGTCCATTTACATGTGCGGAGGAATAACGGGTCTACCTGTTACTATCTTCGCAGTTGATAAAATAGGAAGGAAGAACTCCATCATAATGTCAGCGGTGATAAGTTTAATCTCTTGGACACTCATCGGGGTCGCAGACAGGGTGGAGTACATCTACGTGGCGAGATTTCTCACTGGCCTTTCCGGAGACGTAGCCTTCGTAGCGGCGCCGATGTACATAGCTGAGATCGCAGATCAAAAAGTCAGGGGGTTCTTAGCTGGGATCATCTACATTATGATGCTGATAGGGATCCTAGTGATTTACGCTGTAGCTCCCTTCGTTGATTTCTGCGTACCTTCAATCATCGGAGGAATTATAGTTGTCGTACAGCTAGCTACATTTCCTTTCATGCCTGATTCCCCTTATTACTTAATTTCTAAAGGCAAGGAAGAAAAAGCCAAAAAACATCTGAAAAAGCTCCGCACCTCTGAAAACATCGACAAGGAGTTTGCTGAGATAGCGGCTGCTGTGAAGAGACAGAAAACTGAAAGAGGAAGGCCCCAGGATCTCGTCATTTCCAAAAGCAACAGGAAAGCCGTTTTGATCATGTTCGTCTTGAACGCTGCTCAGCACTTTAGCAGTATAAGCGTAATGTTGATGAATCTCCATGAAATCCTAACAGCGGCCGAATCTAGTTACTTAAGCTCAAATATAGCCGGCATACTTTTCGCAGCTCTGATGTTGATAGCTGCTACAATCGCCGACTTTATAGTCGACAAATTCGGGCGAAAAATCTTGTTGACGACCTCGAGTCTTTTGACAGGGCTTTCGTTGCTAGTTCTGGCAATATTCTTCACACTCAAACATAGCGGCGCTGATGTAGATAGTATATCGTGGATACCAGTAGCATCGGTCATGGTTTACGCTGCTGTTTTCAAATTCGGCCTAGGTATCATCCCCATAGTGATGACAGCGGAGCTATTCCCAGCCAAAGTCAAGGCTATGGGCATGACAATCGCCGACTTCTTCTACGTGATTTTCGCTCTCATCTCCGTAGAGTTATACCAGAGGCTAGCCAATGCCTACTACTATGACCTACCTTTCTATATTTTCGCAGCTTCGTGCCTTCTGACCGCAGTATTTGCACAATTTTACATACCCGAAACTAAGGGGAAAACTTTGGAGGAGATCCAGTTCATGCTGAAGGGCGAACCTTTCCCCCACAAACAATCAAGTTCTAAAATAGAGGGTGGGAGCATCGACGACTTAGAAATCAAAACTAAAGACATTACAAGTGCCTAGTTTTTATCTACGGATTCAGTTGTAAAATTAGTATGGAAGGAAATTGGTCTTTTCTAGTAAAGTACAATATTAGTTATTAGCTTTGTACATAATACGAAATAATTATGTAATTGTAGAATTGTAACTAACACCAGTTTGGAATTACTAACATATTTTATCGTTATATGTTAAGTGCCTATCTATTTAGGGTATACTCTTAAAAATATATCATGGTGCTATCTTTTTAGCAAAATTATTTGTTATTTTTAAAACGTAGCTGCCAATAATTTAATGTCGAGTAGGTAAGAAGATTTTTCTTCTTTTTTAGAATTTGATCTGTAATATGCACAAGATTATTATATGATTCTAGCAGAGTAGTTCTTAATTAGTTAAGATAACCTTTATTTTGAGTAATATTATATGTTTTATGTACTTATAAAATTGTGATAAGAAATAAGTAAAACATGTTTCAATTTTAAATTAATTTAAAATGACGCCGATACAATATTGTATCGTCGTATCTCAATAATTACTATTTTGCCTGTAAATGATGAATTTATCAAAATAATTATGCACAGGTCTACCAATGCAAATGTATTAAGCAACAATGTATTTATGCTGAAATATGTAAATTACACTATTAGAAAGTATATATTTATAAAAAATATATTCTCATTCTGCTGGATTTTAACATAAAACTGATGCTAGGAACTATAAAATTAATAACATACTACTACATGACTGACTTTAGTTTTTAAGAGTTTACAGTGTGATTGATTATATCTCCTTCTAGCATGTTAATTGTTTTGTTTTTGTTTTAAATCCTGAACTGCTGAAATTTTAACGAAATGTTCAAAGAATTAAAAAAAAGAAAGTAAGGAGAAGCAAACACACTGTATAGTTATTTAATACATATATGATTCTGCTTTGTAAGTAATGTACAGTATAGCCTTCGCCTTATCAAAACTTTATGACTGTGAAACCAGAAGTGATTTTCTGTGATCAATCATATTCCATATTTTCTTAGAATGTCGTTTTTATTTATTTTGTGTGGTATGAATATGTCATTTAGAATATATTTTCTAAAGCTTTACGCTGTTTTATTTCTCTCAGTTTGTCGATGTGTGGAAATTTTATAAAAATTTAACTGGTAGTTTAGAAATAAATCTCATAGACATGAAAAACGCGAACCCCGAATTTTGCAAAATTTTGAACGTTAAAGGGCATCTATATCGATTCTGATTATTTTTTTGATATGTTAGGAAGATAATACAAGACAATCTGACCAAGCCTCCACAGGGTCTTTCAAAACTTAGATCATAAAATACCATCATCCTGGTTCACACAGTCTTTTTCCAAAATTGAAATTTAGACGAATTTCTTCCCAATATGCCGAAAAAATAATCAAAATCGATACCTAAATAAAGACAAAAAGTTTTTGAAAGCTAAAATTTTGCATAAATAAATGTCTGTATCACAGTGAGCAGTTACCTACTTGTATATTTGGTTGCCTATATACAAAAGTATCTGTATGTGTAGCCATACAATACGTATGCGACTGATAATATAATAATCAAATACCACAGACATATAGCCTCAAACCGCGATTTAAGTGCTTGAAATTGGCAACCTATTGCTGTTGCAATTATTGACCAACATTTTTGTTTTTCGCCAGACCGACTTCGGACCCTTTCCATTCAGCGCAGAACGGACAATCAGAACCAGGGGTGTAATTATTTTTTTGAGTTATAAGACCTTTTTTACTGTATCACCTCACACACCTTTTCTTTCCGAAATTTATTTTCAACATATGGACTTCGGACTTTTTGCATTCAACGCAGAAGGGACAATTAGCACCTGGGGTGTGGAGAGATTTTTTCAATTATTTTTTCAATTCAGCGCCGTTTCCGAGTTATAAAAACTTTTTTATTCTATGATGTCACACACCGTTGGTCCTGTTTTTTTTTGACATGCGGACGTTTTTCATTTTCATTAAAGTATATTTTCGAATTACCTGCATGTTGAAAATTTGTAAAAATTGTAGGTATTTTAATGTTATTTCTTTTTTTATGTATTCTCCTTCTGTTGTTGTAAAAGTTAGTTATAAAAATCGTTGTTTGTTATTTCAGTAATGATGAATTTTAATTTTTATAATGATATTTTTAATTTAAACATATATTTTATGCCAACAAATTTTGATGTTGAAAGAAATAAAGGAAAAGTCGTACAATTGTATTTAAAGTTTTTTTCTATATTTAATTGTTAAACCTATAAGTGGATGTTAAAATACAAAAAAAAAACTGTAACTACATTCCGCGACGTACCTACTAATAACCCACCTTGCATATTAAATAAATTTATCATCATCATCAAATATTAAAAAAATATATATCACAAGCTATTTAAAATATCATTACGAATGTTGTTTATTTGGAAATATATTTTCTGCAGTATACGAGTATGTAGCAAAAAATGAAAATAGTAGCTAATTAACGAAATTATGATTAAATAACCTAACTGTGACACCGCTGCAGAATATCATATGAAACTACATAGATATTCCTTGGTTCTTTAAAACATTTTTATCAATACCTACATCATACATTTAAGTAAATACAGTACAGTAAAACTTAACGTTTTACCAAAATGGTATCAGTGTCAAATATTATTGCATTATGAATTAATTTTGCATAATTGGTAAAACTAAAGATTAATAAACTAATTTCCGTAATATGAAATAAAATCAGAATATGCTTTCACGGGAAAATGGAATTTCCAATTTACTCGTTTCAATACAGTGCAATAATTGAATATTTAAATCAATACGTAGTATTAGGAAGACGTTGAGGGTTTTTTGGGATTTTCAGAAGTATTTCCAATCCTCTATCATTAAATTCTTATTAAGCTACCTGTTACACATAATGAAGTCGTTAATATCTAATACCAAGAATACGGCGATTCAGTATAAATTGCCGTCACAATTCAAGAAACTATATCTAGATTTACTAAATGACGTCACATTATTCGTTTTGTTTTCATATATTTGTAACCGGACAAATTAATACTAATTTTATGGAAACTTTCTTGCGCGCTAAGCAATAAGTTGAATCTCCATTCCGACAAAATTGAGCCCAAAATGATAAAATGGAAATAATCAAAGTTTCGTATGCCCTAGGAGTGCAACCCCAACACGCCAGATAGAGGTCTTCAGGGAAATGGTTATTACGTATAAGTTTAAAATTATCCCTTTTACCGCAGACCGACCCCTAGGTCTCTGGAGTTTAATTGAAGTGTAAATTAAAATCATAGTATGCATTGGCAAGAACAAACAGGATATTTATTATAAAATTGACGACTTTTATAAAGTTTATTAAAAATCATATCAATAAACGTAGACTTAAACGTTCTTACAACAATTGCATAATAAATGCGAATATTTAATGTAACACATGTCAATAATGCAAATATAGCTATCAATTAAAAATAATTAAATGCTCAGGATTTTTTTGCATCTATGTACGAGCAGTGAATATTCTACTAATCTTATAATTAATTCCGATTTTAAATGAGGTGCGTCATCTTATTTTCCAAAGGGATATGACTATGTAGAATTTTTTTATTAAGGACGGCGACATAACCAAGCAGGAGGGTCCTGAGATTAAAATATAACGAACACGTTTTGCTTCCCTTCAGCCTACAGGGTGTCAAATAATTTTTTGGATTTTTCTCAATGTTTCAAAACCTGAATTGAAAATATCAATTTCAATATTTTCAAAAAGAGAATTTCAAGAATAGTATTGATTTTGACAAAGACAATAACAATGGCAATATAGACAAAAATTAATACAATGTTGATTCATTTTGAGTAAGAACTAAGTACATAGTTGAAAGTGTTTTTGTTCTTTTGAAGGGCCAGATTTGAACTTTTGTATTTAAAAGAATCTTATTTAATTTTTTATGCACTTTTTACTTACATTATCAGTAAGATGCCCATGACAATATTTTTTAAAACACAATAACAAAGAATAATAGCGTGTACACACTGAAAAATGGTTATTTGTAAAATTATATCACATTACGTTGTAACCAACGTTAAATCAGTGAATTTGCGAAATGGATGTAAACTCGTATTGCATAATTAATAACGCGTCTTTAGTACATTATATTTTGGAGAATATGACATTATCAGCTATGTATTATTTTAAAATATAAAACTTTACATAATATTTACATAATATGGTTGGTTTGGTTTTGGAATATTACATATCTAGAAAAGAAATATGTCTATATTATTAACTTCTGCTTCTGTAAATATGTTTAAGAATTGAACACTTTCCTTTCTGATCCAAATCAATTTTTGTTTTTGATCCTGATAAATTTCAAGAAGAATCTTTGGATTAGGTCCAACGGTGTTTCCAGATTTTTTGGAAATTTGATGTTCATTACCAAAAATAATAAAAATGCAACTTTAAAATAATGGTTGAATACTTTATAGATTAAAGTGATGTTTTCAAGGTACACAAAAGGAAACCATGTATCTTCTTTAATGCCTGGAAAATAAAACATAATATATAAGATAATTTGTGATTTATACAGGGTGTCTCACGGTGACGGCCCATTAGAATTATTTCAGACTACTTCGATTTGAATTTTGAAAATTTGGGATAACGGGTTTTCGGGCATTCCCTTCTCAACTAAAATAATGGCGTCCACGTAGGTACCACTTCCAGTTATGCCGGAAGTCGCCATCAACTTGCTTATTTTAAATAAATTTTTATTGCAATTCTGGATTCTACGTGTTATTTTAGGTGGACTTTTATGAAATTTCCCTATTCCCAAAATTAACGGTTTTCGAGATATTTAATTTTTTTCAAAAAAATGGAGCGAAATAGTCAAACCATCTGTATTTTATGGTAGGAAAGATAAAGCAACAATATTTATAGGGGGGATAGCTAGACCCCTAAGCTTCCCATCCAAACCTTCAAAGTGGCTTAATTGCATACAGGGTGCTAGAAATTTAATGCCGAGTTTAGTTAACTACAAACCTTCATAAGTTGTTTTTTTTTTAATTTTTAATGGAACACCCTGTATGTTTTTCTATATTCTGATACACAATTTTATTCTCTTCTAGTTTCATGTAATTTCTTGCGAGGATAGCTGTAGAATTTTTAGCAAAACTTCAAAACAAACAACTAAACTGTCAATTTGTTGTTAGACTCTTGCAATACAACAAATACAAACAATGTTTAAAGATAAATGGATGAGACGCCTAGGACCGTGGAATTGGCCAGTGAGGTCTCCCGACCTCACTCCATTAGATTTTTATGTTTGGAGAGTAATAAAGCAAAAAGTTTATTCTACACCCGTTGCTTTAAAAGAGGATTTGATTGCTCGAATACGAAGAGCGTTCCATGAATTCTTGCAGCTGAAATAGCAAAAGCGGTGACTGATGGTGTTATCTCTAGAATACACAAGAGCTTAGCTGTTAATGGGGGTCATATTGATCACTTATGAATGTTTTGAAGTTTTGCTAAAAATTCCATAGCTATGCTCACAAGAAATTACATGATTTTAGGTAATTACACAAAAAATAGTAGATAACTTAAAAACTAGAAGAGAGAGGTTTAGGGAACCCTAATATCGCTTGAAAGAGAATAAAACTATCAGAATATAGAAAAACATACAGGGTGTTCCATAAAAAAACGACTTATGAAGGTTTGAAGTTAACTAAACTCGGCATTAAATTTCTAGCACCCTTTATGCAATTAAGCCACTTTGAAAGTATGGATAGGAAGCTTAGGGGTCTAGCTATCCCCCCTATAAATATTGTTGCTTTATCTTTCTTACTACAACATGGTTTGAAGCTAGTCACTGTTTCTCTCCATTTTTTTGAAAAAAATTAAATATCTCGAAAACGGTTAATTTTAGGAATAGGGAAACTTCATAAAAGTCCACCTAAAATAATAAGTAGAATCCAAAATTGCAATAATATATAGGGTGTTCCATTTAAAATAAGCAAGTTGATATCGACTTCCGGTATAACCAGAAGTGGTACGTGGACGCCATTATTTTAGTTGAGAAGGGCATGCCC